TACTTATAAAGTAGCTCGTTATCACGTTACAAAATACCAAAGTTTAAAAAAAAAATTACCATGTTATTTAACTGTTAGGATTTGGTCATCCTCAGACAAGAGCTGCGTACTTTAAAAATGTTGGGCTATGATATGAATAATCTTATAAATAAAAAATAATGTGTCCTCTTTGTCATAATACACCAAAAAGTAGTGCACCCACAGGATGCCAATTTACGCCGAATTTACCGAATTAAACATCGCATCCGTCATTGTCATTAAAAATGTTTAGTATTATTCTAAGGTGTATGTATGCATTGCTCACTCACGTTATATAATAATTTTGACCTTGCCTCTTCTTACATCAGTTATTATTTTCGTAAAAATAGGTAACATGCAGTCATCGTTTGATTTTAATTTATTTATTTGTAATATTTAAATTTAGATGCTAGATTTGGTTTTCTCTTGATAAAAATTCGAGAATAACAATAATATTTTTGTCAAGAGAGAGTAGGAGTTATACAGGGTCTACTCAAAATAGGAGAAGGGAGTAAAATGCTTTTTTTTCTCTAAAATTAACGCTATAGTTCGTATTTTTTTTTTAATAATTGGTTATTGAATCCATTAATATGTATAGAAATCTTTTGGTATCAAGTTTAAAGAAAAAATAATAAACTTTATGATCTTTGCATTGAAAAAATCATCGTATGCCTTGAAATTTTTAATGAATTTAAATTTATGTCAGAGACTTTTTGACATTGATTAAAAACATTTTATAAAGTTTCTTTCATTTTGAGTATATAGCAGACTTTAGAAAAACGTTATTTGATCCAGGAAAAAATAATAAAATATATCAAAATTATTATTGTAAAATTATTATGGAAATTCACCACATAAATGACGATTTAACTTTGGCCTGTTGCTTTTAAACAGTGATTGTCTATGCAATAAAGGAAACGAAGAAACTCCTTAAAATAAAAGGAAACACTCAACATACAGTGTGTTTCAAAATTGTAATTTAAAACAAGGTATGCACCATACATACTGTTATACATATATTATATTTTTTGTTTAGAAAAATATTTGTTATTTAGGAAAAAGCACCAGAAAAAAGTTAACCAATACAACAGCAATTCTGAATAATATTGTTAATTTATCAAATTTAACCCGAAAATAGAGTTCTAACAAAATAAAATAAGGGTTGTTAATTGTAATGTAATGGTAATACACAATAACTCTTTATAATTTCTGTAGTTTTCAAAATATTAAGTTTGTACATTAACGAGGATTTGTGAAAAAAATCAATTTTGCTTATATTCGGAGCTGAGAAAATATAGTCCCTCATAATTTTTAAATAAGGGACCTCCTTCTCAAGTTTTTCGCATACAGGGTACGTGTAACTTTAACAGTTAATGATATGTAACTTACCAAACATAAAAGTTCATTTTTGCGAGAGGTATTTTACTCTCACTTTAAAAATAAAATTATTGTTGAAAAATCATTTAGATACGTATCAATTCTCAAGAATTAAATATGTATTTATGTAGTAAAGTAAGATAATAATAATATTAATACTACTCTCTCCCTAATTTACCCTCTTACTAGTAAATTTTATCCCCAAAAGCTAAGCTTATCCCGGGAAAGGGACGACTATTATTAATATTTGCCGTGACGCTCCGGGGCGACTTAAAGATGATTGATGGTACCATTTAACTAACTGGTGCGGAAAAACCGAAAAATCTCACCCACCATCATCGAAACGGTAACTCGTGGCGATTTTTATAATATGGATGTCATATCAACAAAATTTAAATTTTTGCTAATACAGAATTCATCAAATCCCATAGAGAACCATGCAAATAAATGTACATGGTCTTCTGATACCTAGGTACTTTTAAATTCAGATACAAAACAAAATGTTTAAAGATATTGAATTAAAAATATGTCCAAGTTCAGATACAAGGGCTTTCAGAACATCAAATTTGTTTAAATAATCCAACAATAATTGCTGTAAGTGTTAATTGTATCTTGTTAAATTTTTAATCTAGGTATTATTAGAGAGTTATTGTAAGTGCATTTAAGGTTAGTCACTATTATCGCCGCTCTTATTTTGACATCTGAGCATGCGCAGATCACTTACATTCTAGAACTGACTTTAATAAAGATTGTGCCTGTCCTTATTTGTGGATGTTTTAAGGACAGCAGTTAGTGGCGACTTTATAGTTTTTGGTTACGCTCGCCAACATTCGTATCAATTAGAAGTTTTTTAATATTAAAAATTTAATATCATCGTCATCTAAACTATCTAAAATGGTAATTTCTAATGCCTCTTTCATATTATGTACTATTATAAACAACAAAAAAGATGAACTATAATTTAAAATTTTTAAAATGAGGTTAGAAATATGTATAAGGACAATGTCACAATTTTAGGTTTGCAATAAGTCTTATTTTAGCATGGAATTTATTTGCCTCTAATTACGTTGTCACTATTAGTGGCTGACGTTATAGAAATTTGCAATATCTCTCTAATAAATATAAAGTTAATCACAAAAAAAGTTTTAAAAGTAGGCCATGTCGGAGTGCAAAATGTTTCTTCTTTTTTAAATGACAGTTTCAATACGCATCAAAGATGTCTGATGTTATTAAGGACATGACTCGTATCTGTATTTGTCGGTCAGTCTACTTTAGGAATTTTTTTTTTTTTTTGATTACACGTTTTTTCTGCAAACCACCGACTAACAAATATCGATCTCCATTCACTGAAATGTAACAGATCAAATTAAAACGTCGATGAAAGAAAGAAAAAATTAATTTAGTTAAGGTCATTTTTTGTCGTAAAAGTACTTAGAAGGAAATAAAAGAATCTTGGAAATTGAAGTAGAATAAAATAAATAGTATATAAAAAGGATTAAGGTTATGACCAAGGATCCTAAAATTAATTCACTTTTTCACCTTACATGTTCGAAAACTACATGTTCGAAAACTACGTGTTTTATTCATTTCCTGAAGATCGAGATTTTAATTACAAAAGAATTATAATTTAACTTCTATTATAATTAATAGCCATTTATATATCTATTAGTTAAGGAACGGTTACCCCCACATCAGCCTTCCAGTGACATAGTGCCTGACTCTCAGCCACCAAAGGCATCCTAATAACGTCACCAAGAGGTGTATCTAGATGAAATTTTATCACCCCGATGGTAAATGTCCAGGTGGCGCTATTCTGACTCCCCGCTCCAGAGAGCACTTAACCATTTAGAAAAATACTATTTGTACCTAATATATTTTGGTTAATTATAATATTCTAGGTTAATGGGTTTAATAGCTTACATAACATTTGTCAATTAAAAAAATTGTAAACATAATATAATATAGAAGAAAAAGAAGAAGAAAAGGAAACAAAAGTGTAATTAGGCAGTCCAAACAAAATAACTGTCGGTGGAAGGGGTTGATTAATCTAAGGGGTTCCGACATACGATATATTCTATTTACAACACGTGAAATAATGAATTAAATTTAAATATTTTATATCGAACACAGAAAATATTTAAAAAAATCGCTCATCTATTTTTCATAAATTGGCAGGCTTAGCGTCTACTGGTTCGAATAAAAATAGAATAGAATAGAAGACTATGTCGCAACCTCCTTAGATATACGAGCCCTTCCCACTATCAGCTATTGTTTGACAGGTGGTTGGAATGCCTAATTGCACACAAAGCTCTAAAACAAGTCCTATACTATTATGATAAATTTAAAAAACACTGATTAATATCACAGACATCACAAACTCCGCGGCATTTTCTATTTATAGAGTTCAAAAGAGAACTAAAAACATTAGTTATTGAATAATTGCAAAAAATGTAATATACTCTAGATTATTGGCAATAAAATATTGCATTAAAAACAAATATTCGTACTTAACTTTTATTATTTTCGAATTACGCCTTTATCATAATAATAATGGCAAAAAAATACTAATTATTCAAACGTCAAAACCTGACACGTTACTCTACGATTAGTATACTGTAATTTTACTATCAATTTTACTTTTTTGACAAGCCGTTGACAGCGGAGTAAACGTACTTTTGATTCCGCTGAGAGCATAGAGCACAGATAATTAGAAAATATTTGTTATGAAGGTAGTTATCTACCTCTTGATTATACGGCACTGCATTAATAAAATTTATAAAAACTAAGCTGTATTCCTGCTCATCCGAATACCAAATACGAACTTTAAAGTTGCATCAACAAACTACCTCTGCTTCCGCAAATTATCTACATGGTACATGAATCTCGTGAACGTTAATCCATAAACAAACAAAACTATCTGCCTATTCAATTTCAAATCAATATTCTCCCTTTGTGGATGATATGTAATTAAATATATGTATTATTCGAAATTATGTAACTCTGTATAGTGAGATCTACAAGAGTTTTTCTCCCTTCCTACCCTTTAAACTATGAATACATTTAAAACAATTCAGAAATACATTCTACCAAATTATTTACTAGTCATAAGAAGAGAAATTCATCAAAAAAATCCAAAATCTAGTGATAATTACAGGTTTTATAAATTAAGGAGCAGTTACAAACAATCCTTGTGATTATTTTTATGACTAATACCTTTTTTAAGGTTGGTTGACTAATTAGACAAATAATTAGCGATAATAAATAGCAATTACAAAGTATTTCATCCAGATATGTGGGTTGATGCTTGTAGAAACAACAAAATTTTAAAATAATGAATTTTCCAAAATATTTCATTTAAGAACGAATATACGAAATGCTGAAACGTTTACAAAATGATAATCAAGTAAATCTATGATTAAAAATTATCGAAGTAATTTCTATAAACAACCCCCTTATAAAGGAATTTAATATTTTCAATTTAAAAAATTTAAATCTACCTGATTCAAATTGCATCTCTCTTATAATATCATATACGTTGTGGCTTCAATAACGTATCTTTTCACTGCGGAGTACCCTGTATAATTGTTTAATTAAAATAGACTTACCAGTATTAATTAGTGCAAGAAGCACAAGTACAGATGTGGAGGTTGCGTAAACTGTACACATTTTCACGGTCTGCAAAAGTGACTCACTTCAACAATGTCGTTAATTGATCACCGGTGCACTCTTTCTGAATTTACAACAAGAAATGACAATTTCTACATAAAGCTATTGGAAGACATAATTTAAAATGATCTTACTCCCACTCGTTGTTTTTATGATCTTGGAAATATACTTAACTATGTACGTAAACCAAGGTTTTCATTGACAAATCGGAAACGTGAAAATTTTAATAAGTATACAATGTCAACGAAAATTTTCAGGCAATATTTTCAGAGGTGATAGATTACCTAAAAATAAAGTGCTTTTCTTCTACGCCTATGTCCAAAACAGCTTGTTATGGCTGCAACAACTACTAGAAAGGCATATATACAAAGTTTAAGCATGTTTATATTTTTGTTTTTTCTTCTTAGTTTGTACATCTCAAGTCTCTAAAATCATTTGTCAAATTGTACTTGATAATTGTTACACATAACTATCACTTATGAATCTGGTGATATTAATTTTAGATGCGAACTAGAATGAAGATATATAATGCTTTGCATTCTATATAATACTCTTCACAGCCTTAACCCCTCATTTTTATTCATATTTTTTTCAGAATCAATAGGCTTCATCCGCTTAGAAAGCTTGATTTTTCCTGAAGATTTCAATCATTCTTAAGGGTTAACCCTCCATTTTGTTCACAATTTTTTTTTAAATCATAGGCTTTGTCTTAATATAGAACTTGATTTTTGCTAAAAATGTCAAGTTGATATTGTTTTTTGTTTTTGATTTAGGATTTTTTTAAATATTTCATTCACACTTCATTTTTATTTAGTTTTTTTTTTCAAAATATATAGGATTCATTCCCATATAAAGCTTGATTTTTCCTGAGGATTTCAATTTGATATCATTTTTTGTTTCTGAATTAAGATTTTTTAGGGATGGCCAAAATAATCGATTAATCGATAAATAATCGTTTATTTTCGATTATTCGATAAATTTTGATTAATCTATTATTTTCCATTTTTTAATCATTTTCGAATAATCGATTATTTGATTATTTTCGATTAATCGATTACTTTCGAATATTCAATTATTTTCGATTAATCGATTATTTTCGACAATCAATTATTTAAGATTATTCGATTTTTTTTTCGAATTATCGATTACCTGCTTATTTTCGATTTATCGATTACTTTCGAATATACAATTATTTTCGATTACTCGATTATTTTTGACATTCGATTATTTTTGATTATTTGATTTTTTCTAATAATCGATTACTTAAGATTAATCGATTTTTTTTTATTAATCGACTATTTTCAAGTAATCCATTATTTTCAATCAACCGATTATTTTCGATTAATCGATTTTCAAATATTCTATTATTGTCGATTATTTTTAATTAATCGATTTTGAATAATAGATTATTTAAGAATAATCGATTTTTCTATTATTCGATTATTTTCAAATAATCCATTATTTTCAATCGACCGATTATTTTTGATTAATCGATTTTCGATTAATCGATTATTGTCGATTAATGGATTATTTTTGATTAATCGATTATTTTGGATTAATCGATTATTTTAAACTAATTGATTATTTTGGATTAAACGATTATTTTAGACTAACCGATTATTTTCGATAAATCGATAATATTCGATTAATCGATTATTTTCGAATAATTGATTATTTTTTATTAATCGATTATTTTAAATATTCGATTATTTTAAATATTCGATTATTTATTTTGATAATCGCCCAGTCCTAATTTCAACCCCCTTTACCCCCCTTAGTGAGATTTTCTTTTCAAAATTTTTAAGTATTTCTACCCCCCCCCCCCCCCATTTTAATTCAGAATCAAGGGACTTCATCTTATAGAGCTTGATTTTTACTAAAAATTACATGTTGGTACATCGCTTTTCATTTTTGATTTGACTTTTTTTTAATATGTCAGCCCCCTCAACCCTTCAAGCATACATTACTAGAGCCATCGTCCAAATGGACTTTGTTTTGGTACAGGGGGAAAAATAGTGACCAGCATTCCCATTGGTCTGTTTCGTATGTCGCATGTCAAATCGTTCAAAATTGTCAGAACTGTCATTTGATTTTTTATTTTCATTAATTTCTAGCTTATTCTTGTAGTTTATAAGTGATTTTTACTTTCCTATCTGTATACAGATATAAGGAAAGTATAGGAATCATGATTTTTTTCGACCTCGAGTTTTCGACGGATTTTTACGTCTTGAGGTCCCCTGATTCCGTTTTGACTAATTTCGCGATGATGTCTGTGCGTGCATGCGTGCGTGCGTGCGTGTGTGCGTGCGTGCGTGCGTGCGTGCGTGCGTGCGTGCGTGCGTGCGTGCGTGCGTGCGTGCGTGCGTGCGTGCGTGCGTGCGTGCGTGCGTGCGTGCGTGCGTGCGTGCGTGCGTGCGTGCGTGCGTGCGTGCGTGCGTGCGTGCGTGCGTGCGTGCGTGCGTGCGTGCGTGCGTGCGTGCGTGCGTGCGTGCGTGCGTGCGTGCGTGCGTGCGTGCGTGCGTGCGTGCGTGCGTGCGTGCGTGCGTGCGAGCGTGCGAGCGTGCGAGCGTGCGTGCGTGCGTGCGTGCGTGCGTGCGTGCGTGCGTGCGTGCGTGCGTGCGTGCGTGCGTGCGTGCGTGCGTGCGTGCGTGCGTGCGTGCGTGCGTGCGTGCGTGCGTGCGTGCGTGCGTGCGTGCGTGCGTGCGTGCGTGCGTGCGTGCGTGCGTGCGTGCGTGCGTGCGTGCGTGCGTGCGTGCGTGCGTGCGTGCGTGCGTGCGTGCGTGCGTGCGTGCGTGCGTGCGTGCGTGCGTGCGTGCGTGCGTGCGTGCGTGCGTGCGTGCGTGCGTGCGTGCGTGCGTGCGTGCGTGCGTGCGTGCGTGCGTGCGTGCGTGCGTGCGTGCGTGCGTGCGTGCGTGCGTGCGTGCGTGCGTGCGTGCGTGCGTGCGTGCGTGCGTGCGTGCGTGCGTGCGTGCGTGCGTGCGTGCGTGCGTGCGTGCGTGCGTGCGTGCGTGCGTGCGTGCGTGCGTGCGTGCGTGCGTGCGTGCGTGCGTGCGTGCGTGCGTGCGTGCGTGCGTGCGTGCGTGCGTGCGTGCGTGCGTGCGTGCGTGCGTGCGTGCGTGCGTGCGTGCGTGCGTGCGTGCGTGCGTGCGTGCGTGCGTGCGTGCGTGCGTGCGTGCGTGCGTGCGTGCGTGCGTGCGTGCGTGCGTGCGTGCGTGCGTGCGTGCGTGCGTGCGTGCGTGCGTGCGTGCGTGCGTGCGTGCGTGCGTGCGTGCGTGCGTGCGTGCGTGCGTGCGTGCGTGCGTGCGTGCGTGTGTGTGTGTGTGTGTGTGTGTGTGTACGTGTGTGTGTCCAAATACCAAATTTTAAACTTGAGCTTTATTCCAGCGTCCAATGAACAGATTAGATTTTTGGCAGAGTCGGAACATCTGGGGGGGTACTTTATGGGTGGTCATTTTTATATTTAATGGAAGATATGTTATTTACTTTTGAAGAAGAAAATTCTTCAAATAAAAGTTACTTCTAATATAATTTTAATTTTACATAATTTTCTTAAAATGGACCGTATTCGAGATATTTGAGAAAATGTGTAAATTTTGAATTTTGAAGAAAACTCAAAAACATTCAATTTTAAACTTAAGTTTTATTTCGGCCTGACGTGAAATGATTAGATTTTGGACATAGTCGGAACATCTGGGGGGTACTTTATGGGAGGCCGTTTTTATATTTTATGGAATATATCTGTTATTTATGCTTGGAGAAGAAAATTATTCATATAAAAGTTACTTCTAATATTTATTATCTATCATTTTTACTTTATGTCAAAATTTCATGAAATGGTCCGTACTCGAGAAATTTGACAAAATGTGCTAAATTCTGATTTTTATGAAAATTGTTGAACTAAAAGTTGTTTGCGATATCGATCTCTGTAATTTTTGTTTATACATGATTTTTATAAAATGGACCGTAATGGAAAAATTGTAGGAAAAGTGCTAAATTTAAATTTTTCAGTATTTTCGTTTTCAATGAATATCTATAGAAAAATGTTTCGAGGTAGATGTATGTGGAAAATGTATAAATTTAGTTTATCCTCTAAACATTTATAGAGGTGCTGCAATAGGTTGTACAAAATAATCGGAAAAAACCTATAATAACTAGATAGGAAAGTCATGTGTTGGACACATCAGATTTTCTGTATCTATATGTAGTCTTAATACCACTGAATTATTTTACTATAATGGGGGTTTCCCGTTAAATAAATAAAATAAATAAATAAAATCAGACAGAATAGCGAAAAATGTCAAGGAAATAAGGCCAGGAACAGAAAAGAATGAAAGAAATGGGTCCAAGGAGATAACTATGGAGTAGTTTCACTCAAAAATGAAATCGAAAATGTTAATAATTATTTTTGAAGATACTACGATATCTCAGAAAGCAGTTGTTGAAGTAGTAGGTTCATGTCAAATGTAAGAAACGTTTTTAACACTAATTATAATACCAATAGAATTTTGCCTCAGTTTTGGTATAGACCATCTGCTGTTTTTCTTGCCTATATGTTTCAAGAAATAATTACCAATATTTATTTTGCTAAAGTCAGCAAACGACGGTGCGCCTGTCGATCTGTCAATCCAATTTTACTTGCTCAACATTGAATCGCGTGAATCACCGAAACTGAAATAAGCATTTGTAAGTACTAAAACGAAGTAGATTCGTTTTAATTAAGTATTACTTCTTACGGAGTCTTTCGTGATGGTTAAACGCAAGTGTACACAATCATGCGCTGTAAACTATTTTTGGGTAGAGCGCATGATTTGTACGTTAAATATTACGGTTTTCTCGCGTGTTGGAACAAATCTAATGAAATATAAACAGAAAAATGTTTTAAGCTCAAGCGGGAACTTCTGTTCTTCAAAATTTTGTTGTAACCTCTGGCGAAACCAGATCAGTTAAAGCCGCTGAAGCGACATTGGCTTTCCATACAATCTGTCATCATCAATCCTACATAAATTATTTATGGATTGCACAACCAAGGTAAAAAATTTATAATTATTATTTTTATTGTGTAATTATAATTTTATTGCTCGTATATTTTTGATTTTAGTTAAACAAATATATACAATGATTCCACTATAGCAGAAAATGTTACTTGTGGTCGTACTAAGCTGGAGGCAATAGGTAACAATGTAA